TGAGGATTAGTACAGGGCAGGATTTGGCCCTCGCTTCCCCGATGTCACCTGACACGACCTAGGAGCATGGTTCAGTGCCAGGAGGAGCCAACCCCACTGAAAATGCTCCACTTCCCTCATGCCCCTGTAATTCACCTATACATGCCACGTACTTTACAGTTTACAAAACACTTTTGTGTCCCTTAACTGACTTTCCCTCGCTGAACCTCCAGGAGGACATCGGGGTATCATCATTGGCCTCGCTATTCAGAAGCAGAGGCAGAGGCTCAGAGACGGGAGCCATGCTGCCTGAGGAAGCACAGCAAGGATTCTGAGAGCTGGGACTAAAGGACAAGAACTCAGCCCCTGTTTTTCCGAGGCCTGTTTCCTCCTCGCCACAAAAGAAGGAAAACTTCTTGACCTGGCAGGGCTTCCACAAAGAAGTGGCAATCAAAAAGACTGAACCCAGGCCAGGCGCAGTGGCTCATGCCTGTAATCCCAGCACTTTGGGAGGCCGAGGCAGGAGGATCACCTGAGGTCAGGAGTTCGAAATCGGCCCTACCAACATAGAGAAACCCCACCTCCACTAAAAATACAAAATTAGCTGGGCGTGGTGGCGCATGCCTGTAATCCCAGTTACTCGGGAGGCTGAGACAGGAGAATCGCTTGAACCCTGGTGGTGGAGGCTGTGGTGAGCTAAGATCGCATCATTGCACTCTAGCCTGGGCAACAAGAGTGAAACTCCATCACCAAAAAAAAAAAAAGATTGAGCCCAAGAATGAGCTGAGAGTGTCCAAGGGGAAATCAACCAGGCTGAATGACAGTGTCACCTCTGAGAGTATTGGGGGCACTGGGAAGGCCCAGCTGGGCCCAGGGGGAATTGGATTCTGCTGGAAGCACAGGCCAAGGATATATAGATAGACTAACGTCCGAGAAGTGGCCCCCCACCGTGCCCCCTGCAAAGCCAGGCCCCACCTGATGAAGATGAAGATGGCTTTGCGGTAGTTGGTCCCATATACAACCCAGGAGGAGCCCAGAAAAGGCTGCAGGACTTCCATCAGACCTGGGGGCATCCTGTCCATCTCATCAAAGAGGAAGAGGGAGCGGCCACAGGCAGTGAGGTTCCCTTGGACCCAGCTCTTAAGATCCTTCTGCAGGAGAGAGACAGGAGTTCGAGGGAGGCTGGAGAAACTCCCCCAACCCCAGACCTCTTCCCAAACCGAGAACTAATTTCCTTTCTAGGGAGATGTTTCCCAGAGAGCACCAACCCCTTAGTGAGACTGATGGTGAAACTGTATCCCAGAGAGGGGCAGAGACTCACCCAATGTCACACAGCCAGTCAGCAAGAGAACAGGGACTCAAACCCAAGCCTCCCACTTCTCTGTTCGGGGCTCTTTCCATGACACCTGCTGCTTTCTGTAAAAGGGGAAGGCTCCTTCCTGCTCCCTGAACCTACCCAGCAGGATGATCTGAAACAGACCAGCCTGGAAGGTACCTTGCAATCAACAACAGTAGTAGTAAGAGTCAGTATTTCCCCATGCTTATTCTGAGCCACAAATTGGGGCTGATTTCCAGCAGGACAATAGTGTAGATTATCTGACAAACGTAGGTGCTCAATAACTAATATCTGCAGTGATATAATCTCATGTTCCTCACAACAACCCTGGCAGGTAGGTACTGCCAGGGTTCCTTACTGCCCCAAGGAATCAAAGTGCTCCCTGCTAGGTAGAATGGCACCTTCCCAAGGTCTGTGCAGGATGGGTCCTGAGGGCTGGGGCTGCAACTGGCTGTGTGGCCTGGAGCAGGTGACTCCCTTGTCTGGGCTCAGGACTTATTCCCTAGGGTGTCACCGCATGGTGAGGAGAACAGCGGTCAAGGACGCATCCAGCCTACCTTGTAGCGCTTGATGTGGCTGGGCTGGGGAAAGTGGATAACGGGAGAAAAGTGGTGCACGCGGGGGCTGTGGAGGCCGCCCTGGAAGAGGTAGTGCGCCAGCAGGGAGCTGACATAGGACTTCCCGGTGCCAGTCCAGCCGTGCAGGGAGAGGACCAGCGGCTTGGTGGGGGCTGGGTTCCACACAAAGGCCTTCAGCGCCTTCACCACCAGCGCCTTGGCCAGATGCTGGCCGGCTAGGTGCTGAGCCAGGTCACACTCCAGACCTAGGGCCACAGGAGGATGGTGAGGACACAACCCACCAAGGCAGAGGTTCAAGAGGAACGTCATGTCTGGAACCTGGTCTGGGACTCCTGTGTCCTTACGTTTGTCCAAGCTGACTATACACATGGCACGGGGCCCTTGGGGTCTGTGGCGGAAAAGAGCCAACTTCAGGCCTGATTCAGCTCGGCCCCGCCCCCACCAGGCGATCCTCTACATTGCACTCAGCCATAAAAGCGAGCTGTCAACGGGGTCAGCCCCAGACCCCGGCCATCCCCAAGGCGCGTTTCTCCCTTGACAGCCAGGCCATTCTGGGGAGGCCTAAGACCTCTCTCCAGATTGGCAGGGGCTCCTGGACCCCAACGGGTACCCTCCACCCTCGCAAGTCTGCGGGCCCCGCCCCGCGGTCCCACAGCCCTCTGGGTCCTCAGCTGCTCCGGCCAGGGCCAGCCGGGCTCCCAGCGCTCCCAAGTCCGCCCGCCCCTCGCTCTGGGCTCCCTGGCACCTCACCCTGCAAGTCGGGCCGGAAGTCGCATTCGCAAAAGGCGCCCAAGCTGCAGCGCAGAGAAGCCAGGTCCCAGGCGGCGGCCGCGGCCGAGACCAGCCCGAGCAGCCCGAGGAGCGAGCCCCAGGGCCGGCAGCCGCGCGTCACAGCCGCCATCCCGGTGAGGCCCGAGGTCGGCGTAGGGCAGCCAACCGTCTCGCCCGGGAACTACAACTTCCGGCGTGCACCGCTCCGCAGCAGCCACGCCCATCGCCTACAACTCCCGACACCCCTCTCTCCGCCTCCAAGACCGGCCCAGTCGTTCCGCAGGAGAACCGGAAGGTGGCCTCCAGGGGGAGCCCGCGAACCGTCCAATCTGGGACGGCGGGCCGCGTTTCCATGGCCACGGTAACTAGGGGACCATCGTAGTAGCTCAGAAAGAATAAATAAAGGATTATGACCACAAAGGGCGACGTAACAATTACAGCAAAAACTTGTGCGGAACCTTACGCCTTGCAAAGCGCCTTTTCCATGCTTTATTCTTTTATATGACAAAAGTGCCCTCACTAACAGCTTTTGGTGAGCACTTACTCTGTGCCATTAGTGCTAAGTGCCTATACACCTTATAATGTGACAATAGTACCTGCTATCCAGAGAAATGGTGGTGTTTCAATGACATAAAGGCACACAAATTGTTTGGCTCAGAAAGTAATTAATAAATGATCATCGACATTTCATTGTGTATGAAACAGGACTCTCCCTCACCTAGCAGCAACTGTCGCCCAATGCTTGGCATCAGTCCTAGGAGACGGCTTCTGTTGTCCCCATCTCAATAAGGACGTATTTGGGACCGAAGAGGTTAAGCCTCTTACCCAATGTCACGCAGCTGTTAAACAATAGAACTAAACCCAAGTCTGGCTGTTACCAGAGCCCTAGTGCTCGCTACATGTTATCAGCCTCTTTTGGTCAAAGGATTCAGAAGGCAAAGGACTCCAGACGTTTGAGGTTCAACGCACAGGCTCCCCAGGCCTCCAGCTTGGCCTGGATTCGTTTTGATCCACGTTGCCCACCTCCCCCAGCCACCAGAGTAAGGGAACCAAGGCAACAGTCTTCATGGCCCACCACAAAGACTCTCTCCCTGTCCCTACCAACCTCAACACATAGTTACACACACACAAATACACACAAACACACACACACACACACCAGGACTTCTGGGGCCAAATATCAAAGCCTGAAAAGAAATAAATAGTTCCAGTCAGGTTATAATCCCAGCACTTTGGGAGGCTGAGTCAGGCGATCACCTGAGGTCGAGAGTTCAAGACCAGCCTGGTCAACATGGTGAAACTGTGTCTCTACTAAAAATACAAAAATTAGCCAGGCGTGGTGGCGAGCACCAGTAATCCTGGCTACTCAGGAGGCTGACGCAGGAGAATCCTTTGAAGCTGGGAGGTGGAGGGTGCAGTGACCCAAGATCACACTACTGCACTATAGCCTGGGCAACAAGAGTGAAGCCGTCTCAGGAAAAAAAAAAAAAAAAAAAAAAATGAGTAGTTCCCACTATGAAGGAGAAAAAAGGAGCGAAGTCTGGGTCCTGGAAGCCAGGTTGAGCCTTTCCGACTCTGCTGCTGTGACCTGGGAAAAGTCCCTTCTCCTTCCAGGTCTCAGACTACAAGAGGGGGTTGGGATCATAGATTTCAAAAAGCCTGTCCACCCCAAACCCTCAGATTTCTGGTCGTGCATTTGTGGGAACTGTTACCATGGCATCCCGGGGCAGGGCATGGGGTAGGAGCACTAGGTTGGAATTAGCTGTTTATCTCTCCCGCTGGTCTGTGAGCTCCCAGAGAGGAAGGACTGGGTTTTCATATTTGCTGTAACCCCAGCTCCTGGCACAACCTGGAATGTCCCAGGTGCTAAAGAATTATTTGTTGTAGAATCCTAATTAGGGGAAATGAGTCAGGCTGACAGGACCAGGGGAAAGGAAAAAGGAAAAGCAGATAAGCTCGAAGCCTGCCCTCTTGATGGTTCAGGACACACAGCCCTCTTGTGCCCAACTTCTCACCAGACACCTGTAGGTTAGCCCACTGCAACCTTGGCATTACCAGTACTGCAGAAAGCCCCCTTCAGCACACAGCAGAAGCACCATCTATAAAAACTCACAGCAAGCCTTTGCCTCTTTGCAGTCAGCTCCTCTTCTGCTGATCTGCCCATTGCTACCCTGCAATGCTCTTTCATACTGTCTCTGACAAATCTGCCTTTCTTTACCTACACGCCACTGGCTCCAGATACTCACCACTCACTCACAACATTTGTTGAATGAAGTTTTCTACCTTTCACCTGAGAAAAGGTGCTTCCTTCCACCCCAGGAGGCTGAGAGACAGAATAAAGAGTCATAAAAGTTTATTATATGAAAGAAAGAACACGGCTTCTGTACATCTATTTACAGCACACACAGACTTATTTACAGCGAGATGGAGGCCTCTGTGTGGGTGAGGGACTGATGGAGAGTGAGGAGGCGTGAACAGCCTCCCATGGCTCGAAAACGGGGAACCCCAGCAGGAAGGGGAGCAGCAGAAGCTGGTGGGGGAACCGGCGTTCCTGTTCTTCCTCAACGGAGACCTGGTGAGTGTTTAGCAGGTGGAATGGAACCCAGAGTCCATGCAGGACCCTGGGGGTGCAAGGGAGGTGCTGGAGTTGAACCCAGAACATTCTCGGGTTGATCACAGTGTCCTTGGGGTGCTCTGGGGAAAGGTCTGTGCCCCTCTGCCCCTGACGCTGTCCGCAGCTGCAGAGGGGGAAGGTCCCTGGGGTCACAGCTCGCTGGAGCGGACGGCAGGCTCCAGCTTGTGGGACAGGGCAGTGAGGACCTTGTCGAACTTCTCATAGCGCCGGGCCTGGCTGCTGCTGGCACCCTGACTGCCCCAGAGGAGGCGCATCTGGAACTCCGTGCTGAACACCTCCAGGAGCTCTGGCCGAGCCTGGAACCCTGCAATGTTGGGGCATAGGGTCAGGGCAGAGGCTGGGATTCCTGTCCAGAGCCCCAGCATTCTTCAGCCCCCCTGTTAGGGACCTCCCACCCACTCCACCAAGGAGCCAACAAAATTTGTGGATCAACATGACCCTGTAGTTTCACATCTTTGTCCTGTTTTTTGTTTATTTTTGTCTGTTTTTTTGAGACAAAGTTTCTCTTTTGTTGCCCAGGTTGGAGTGCAATGGCACAGTCTGGGCTCACTACAACCTCCACCTCCAGGGTTCAAGCGATTCTCCTGTCTTAGCCCCCCGAGTAGCTGGGACTACAGGCATGCGACACCACGCCCGGCTAATTTTGTATTTTTAGTAGAGACGGGGTTTCATCATGTTGGCCAGGCTGGTCTTAAACTCTTAACCTCAGGTGATCCATCCGCCTCAGCCTCCCAAAGTGCTGGGATTACAGGTGCGAGCCACTGTGCCTCGGCTATTTTTATGATAATTATTATTATTTTCTGAAGAAGAAAAAGGTGGGGAAGACATATACCAGAATGTTCAAAGCATTTGCTCCTGAGTAATCGTGGGCAATTTTTTTTTTAAAAAGGAGTCTTGCTCTGCCACCTAGGCTGGAGCGCAGTGGCGTGATCTCAGCTCACTGCAACCTCCACCTCCTGGGTTCAAGTGATTCTTCTATCTCAGCCTCCCAAGTAGCTGGGACTACAGGTACATGCCACCATATCCAGCTTCT